TTATTTACTATGGGGAAAAATTAAGAACGAATGGCCAGATACAGAATTGTGTCCGGCTCGCCAAGTTCTCATCTGCAAAGACAACGCTCGAGAGAGAGAACGAGAGAGCAAAAACAGACATTATGAATGAGAGGATTGTTAGTTTATAATTGTAAAGCAATCACACACGATGACCATAAACCAACCCGATAGTTGGCAATTAGAATGATCATGCCAGGTTTGATGTGATTGGGTTAAATGAAAAAATATGGTTCAACAAGAACCGCGTGAAGCAATTTGCGGTTTAACATAATTGTCCCCAATCCCTCCTCTTCCGGAACTAAATAGCGTTGTTTTTTGTCCAACCAATTATTACGCCACGAGTATTCTCACAACCAATCCGCCGAACAAGACAGCACGTAGAAGAATGTGAAAGGAAACAAAAATCTCTCTCGAACAAGCAGGAAACAATTTTTGACATTCCATAGAGAACGGTGACCACCCGAAATTCTATGCATAAGTTGTATTCTCCCGAGTTTTGCCTAGCACATGACTTTGACGCGTTGTTTGATTATGGTTAGTCAGCTAACACCAATTTATAGTCATCGTTGTTACATAGTCCGATCGCGTTCCCATTCACAGTACTGCTTTGCGTTCTCATCGTGTGTTCTGTGAGTTGTCTGACTGTTTCGAAAGAAGAAGCCCGAAACACAATATTTCTTCGTACTAAATGAACGTAATGAGCACATACAGTACAGTTCTGTACACGCCTGAAGTTGACCAATACTCGTGTTCAATTTGTTCATCGTTTTCAACAGTGACAGTATGCGTCAAACACACTCTCTTATGGAATTGGAACGAAGCCTGGCGATTGTATTGTCCATGCGTGAAGAAGGATTGACAAGTAATTTTATAATGAGTAGTATATAAATGACTGGACAAAATTCCCCAGAAGCACACAATTGGTTTCGCAATCCTTGTCGCTCGTCAGGTATGCGTATACGATAGTCTTCAGTCTGGTTCATTCTTATACTTGAAATTCCAATGTGAATTATGCAATGCAGACCTAATCCGCCGCTCAGATAGTATATTTGAGATGAACAAATCTAGAAGGTATCATTACGATGATTCCGTATCTGGTGCATCTGATGCATACAACATAAGTGAGAATGTGTAAGGAGGACAGGGATTGGGCCTATTTTTAGGGACGGGAAAAGAAGGTCTCTATGGTCACCTCTATGGTCAACACACAGAGTACACAGCCCAACTGTGCAAGCATTTTGGACTGATAAGAAGTGACAGCATGTTCGGCACTGCTGTTTGTTCGCAGCCATGATCTTCAGTGTCTCCAACCATTGGTTTTTGGAGTCTTTTGGACCCCAACCCGGAAGACGAGAAACACCTAGTCTACCCATTCGTTCTGTGCTTTTTTCTTCATGCTTCGTCTCCACGTCATCTACTGGACTCCAGGTGGCTTTCTCTAGCCTGTAACAGCCACTGCAAACAAGGCGCGCTGCAGTAGGCGACCGTCGGACATATGCAAAACGTGTCCTAAACAAAGAAGCTTGAGCAGGATTCGATGGGATAGCGAGTTCTTGTCTGATGTATTCCCAAACACCCGACGACTTACCTCTAAGTTAATAACCGGCTCACTCCATCCCACTTGGGCCAAACTACGTAAGCATCGATTGTTGAACACTGCTAAACGACGGGTGTCTTCTACCCGCAAATTCAAGGTCTCACAACCGTAAAACAGAACTGATCGTACAGTGGCGCTGTATACGTGAATTTTCAACTTTGGTGACACATCACGTCGCCGCCACAGGTGTTTTAGTCCTGCGTACCCTACTCGAGCCTTGGAAATGCGGGTGGTTATCTAATTCGGTGCGTTACCGTCGTTGGTCACGCAGCTACCTAAGTACGAGAAGCAGTCTACGGAGCGACAGAACGTGATAATCTGTCAAGTGCTCTTTGTGCATCCTCCATACATTCGAACAAGCAAACGATGTCGTCAGCGTAATCCAAATCGCACAGCTTTTCTCCAGCTGCCCATTCAATACCTACATTTTGGAGACCGCTCAGTGTGTTCTCCAGTATTTTTTCTATGACGAAATTGAACAGGATTGGCGAAATAGAGTACCTTTGACGAACACCGCTGCTAGTTACGAATGACCTACTCAGCTCGCCGTGGACCCTTACGTTACCAGAACTATATGAGTAGAGTGAACTCAGTATATTCCCATACTTCTGCGGCATTCCTTTGCGAAGGAGTGAACCGATAAGGGATATACATATATATATATATAGAACAGCTAATTTCAATCGGGCTCATCCAAGACAGATGAGGAGTTTCGCGGCTGTTGGGACGATCCAAAGTAGACATGGGAGTGAAATGCCTCTCAGGTTGTCTCTGAATAGGTGCAACTCTCATTAACACGATGTGACCAAATACTTGGCTGGGAAGGATACCAGATCGGCATAGTGCAAAGCACACAGTCGATCTCGCTCGTTCCTCATATTTGGCTTCAATATTAAAGATCGCAAAATGACATTCAACTAGTGCTTCGATGGTGTTTCGCTCCGTAAAACCACAGAGTGTGTGTGCGTGTGCAGTCATTCCACTGAAAACAGCATAGGATTGATATGGGCCTACTGTCAGCTGACAGCGTCTCGAATAGCCAATTTTGCTTAAGAAACCTTATTCTCTGCCTTCTCGTGGGGCGGATGTATTTTCCCACCACAAAATGAGGGGACGAAAAGTTAACATCCGAGGCTATAACCGGGTTGGTGGACCACTGGCAGTTCACCTATTGGAGTTGGCCAAAATCCCTGATCCCAAACCAACCAGGAAGAGGCGTACGAACCACACACACCTCCCTAGTCGTTTCAGTCGTCACCGACTCGATTGGGCATCAAGTTATAT